CAAATACCCACGTACCCCCTGCACCCCAAATACACACGTACCCCCCTGCACCCCAAATACCCGCGTACCCCCCTGCACCCAAATACCCACGTACCCCCCTGCACCCAAATACCCACGTACCCCCCTGCACCCCAAATACCCACGTACCCCCCTGCACCCCAAATACCCGCGTACCCCCCTGCACCCAAATACCCGCGTACCCCCCTGCACCCAAATACCCGCGTACCCCCTGCACCCCAAATACCCACGTACCCCCCTGCACCCCAAATACCCACGTACCCCCCTGCACCCAAATACCCGCGTACCCCCCTGCACCCAAGTACCCGCGTACCCCCCTGCACCCCAAATACCCACGTACCCCCCTGCACCCCAAATACCCGCGTACCCCCCTGCACCCAAATACCCGCGTACCCCCCTGCACCCCAGATACTCACGTACCCCCCTGCACCCAAATACCCGCGTACCCCCCTGCACCCAAGTACCCGCGTACCCCCCTGCACCCCCAAATACCCGCGTACCCCCCTGCACCCCAGATACTCACGTACCCCCCTGCACCCAAATACCCGCGTACACCCTGCACCCAAGTACCCGCGTACCCCCCTGCACCCCAAATACCCACGTACCCCCCTGCACCCCAAATACCCGAGTACCCCCCTGCACCCAAATACCCGCGTACCCCCTGCACCCCAAATACCCACGTACCCCCCTGCACCGCAAATACCCACGTACCCCCCTGCACCCAAATACCCGCGTACCCCCCTGCACCAAAGTACCCGCGTACCCCCTGCACCCGAAATACCCACGTAACCCCTGCACCCCAAATACCCGCGTACCCCCTGCACCCAAATACCCGCGTACCCCCTGCACCCAAGTACCCGCGTACCCCCTGCACCCAAATACCCACGTACCCCCTGCACCCAAGTACCCGCGTACCCCCTGCACCCAAATACCCACGTACCCCCCTGCACCCAAATACCCGCGTACCCCCTGCACCCAAGTACCCGCGTACCCCCTGCACCCCAAATACCCGCGTACCCCCCTGCACCCAAATACCCGCGTACCCCCCTGCACCCAAATACCCGCGTACCCCCTGCACCCCAAAGTACCCACGTACCCCCTGCACCCCAAATACCCACGTACCCCCTGCACCCAAATACCCGCGTACCCCCTGCACCCAAGTACCCGCGTACCCCCTGCACCCCAAATACCCACGTACCCCCTGCACCCCAAATACCCGCGTACCCCCTGCACCCAAATACCCGCGTACCCCCCTGCACCCCAGATACTCACGTACCCCCTGCACCCAAATACCCGCGTACCCCCCTGCACCCAAGTACCCGCGTACCCCCCTGCACCCCAAATACCCGCGTACCCCCTGCACCCCAGATACTCACGTACCCCCTGCACCCAAATACCCGCGTACACCCTGCACCCAAGTACCCGCGTACCCCCTGCACCCCAAATACCCACGTACCCCCTGCACCCCAAATACCCGCGTACCCCCTGCACCCAAATACCCGCGTACCCCCCTGCACCAAAGTACCCTCGTACCCCCTGCACCCCAAATACCCACGTACCCCCCTGCACCCCAAATACCCGCGTACCCCCTGCACCCAAATACCCGCGTACCCCCTGCACCCAAGTACCCGCGTACCCCCCTGCACCCAAATACCCACGTACCCCCTGCACCCAAGTACCCGCGTACCCCCCTGCACCCAAATACCCACGTACCCCCTGCACCCAAATACCCACGTACCCCCCTGCACCCCAAATACCCACGTACTCCCTGCACCCCAAATACCCACGTACCCCCTGCACCCCAAATACCCCCGTACCCCCTGCACCCAAGTACCCACGTACCCCCTGCACCCCAAATACCCACGTACCCCCTGCACCCAAGTACCCCACGTACCCCCTGCACCCAAATACCCACGTACCCCCTGCACCCCAAATACCCGCGTACCCCCTGCACCCCAAATACCCGCGTACCCCCCTGCACCCAAATACCCGTGTACCCCCCTGCACCCAAATACCCACGTACCCCCCTGAACCCCAAATACCCACGTACCCCCCTGCACCTCAAATACCCACGTACCCCCTGAACCCCAAATACCCACGTACCCCCTGAACCCCAAATACCCATGTACCCCTTGCACCCAAGTACCCACGTACCCCCTGCACCCAAGTACCCACGTACCCCCTGCACCCCAAATACCCACGTACCCCCTGCACCCAAGTACCCGCGTACCCCCTGCACCCAAATACCCGCGTACCCCCTGCACCCAAGTACCCACGTACCCCCTGCACCCAAATACCCACGTACCCCCTGCACCCCAAATACCCACGTACCCCTTGCACCCAAATACCCACGTACCCCCTGCACCCAAGTTCCCACGTACCTCCTGCACCCAAATACCCGCGTACCCCCTGCACCCCAAATACCCACGTACCCCCTGCACCCAAATACCCACGTACCCCCCTGCACCCAAATACCCACGTACCCCCTATACCCAAGTACCCGCGTTCCCCCTGCACCCCAAATACCCACGTACCCCCTGCACCCCAAATACCCACGTACCCTCTGCACCCAAATACTCGCGTACCCCCTGCACCCAAATACCCACGTACCCCCCTGCACCCAAATACCCACGTACCCCCTATACCCAAGTACCCGCGTACCCCCCTGCACCCAAATACCCACGTACCCCCCTGCACCCAAGTACCCGCGTACCCCCCTGCACCCAAATACCCGCGTACCCCCTGCACCCAAATACCCACGTACCCCCTGCACCCAAATACCCACGTACCCCCTGCACCCAAATACCCGCGTACCCCCACCCAAGTACCCACTGTACCCCCTGCACCCAAATACCCATCGTACCCCCTGCACCCAAATACCCGCGTACTGCACCCAAGTACCCGCGTACCCCCTGCACCCAAATACCCACGTACCCCCTGCACCCAAATACCCACGTACCCCCTGCACCCAAATACCCGCGTACCCCCTGCACCCAAGTACCCACGTACCCCCTGCACCCAAATACCCACGTACCCCCCTGCACCCAAATACCCACGTACCCCCTGCACCCAAATACCCACGTACCCCCCTGCACCCAAATACCCACGTACCCCCTGCACCCCAAGTACCCGCGTACCCCCTGCACCCAAAATACCCGCGTACCCCCTGCACCCAAATACCCGCGTACCCCCTGCACCCAAATACCCACGTACCCCCTGCACCCAAATACCCACGTACCCCCTGCACCCCAAATACCCACGTACCCCCTGCACCCAAGTACCCACGTACCCCCTGCACCCAAGTACCCACGTACCCCCTGCACCCCAAATACCCACGTACCCCCTGCACCCAAATACCCGCGTACCCCCTGCACCCAAATACCCGCGTACCCCCTGCACCCAAATACCCACGTACCCCCTGCACCCCAAATACCCACGTACCCCCTGCACCCCAAATACCCACGTACCCCCTGCACCCAAATACCCACGTACCCCCTGCACCCAAATACCCACGTACCCCCTGCACCCCAAATACCCACGTACCCCCTGCACCCAAATACCCACGTACCCCCTCACCCAAATACCCGCGTACCCCCTGCACCCCAAATACCCGCGTACCCCCTGCACCCAAATACCCACGTACCCCCTGCACCCAAATACCCACGTACCCCCTGCACCCCAAATACCCGCGTACCCCCTGCACCCAAATACCCGTGTACCCCCTGCACCCAAATACCCACGTACCCCCTGCACCCAAATACCCACGTACCCCCTGCACCCAAGTACCCACGTACCCCCTGCACCCAAATACCCACGTACCCCCTGCACCCCAAATACCCACGTACCCCCTGCACCCAAATACCCACGTACCCCCTGCACCCAAATACCCACGTACCCCCTGCACCCAAGTACCCCCGTACCCCCTGCACCCAAATACCCACGTACCCCCTGCACCCCAAATACCCACGTACCCCCTGCACCCAAATACCCGCGTACCCCCTGCACCCAAATACCCACGTACCCCCTGCACCCAAATACCCACGTACCCCCTATACCCAAGTACCCGCGTACCCCCTGCACCCAAATACCCACGTACCCCCTGCACCCCAAATACCCACGTACCCCCTGCACCCAAATACCCGCGTACCCCCTATACCCAAGTACCCGCGTACCCCCTGCACCCAAATACCCACGTACCCCCTGCACCCGTGTGCTCCCCCTGCACCCCAAATATTCATTTACCCCCCTGTACCGCAAATATCCCTGCAGCTCCCCTTTGCACCCCATACACCCCCCTGCAGCACTTCAGCACCCTACACTGCCCCCTGCACTCCTGAGCTGAGTCCCCCATGGCCCTGCACACTCTAGCACCCTACACAACGCCTTCCAGCACCCCACATGCTCACACCCCCCTCTGCACCCTCAGATGTCCCCCTAAAGCTCCAAGGGGTGCTCAAGGGCACAAAGCTGGGCTCGTCCTGCTGCCTGGGTGCCATGGGGAGGGTGCAGTGTGGGGCTGGGGTGCCTGGGGCAGAGCAGTGAGGACGGTGTTGGGGGGCAGAGCCTCCCAGGTCGGCTCCAGCACGGTCATGGGGCAGCGCAACGGTTAAGTGCTGGAGGCTGCACCGGGGCTTCGAGGAAGAGGAAATCTCAGCAGGAACAAGGACAGGGAAAGGCCCAGGGCAGGGGCCGGAGGCACAGCCGGGACGTGCCGGGAGCCCCGAGCGGGGCCCTGGGACGAGCCCTGGCCAGGAGTGCTGCTGGCGCAGGCAGGAGGCGGCTGGGATGGAGAAGGCAAGTGGGGTGTCCCATGGGATGGGCACTGCCAGGGGCTTGCTCCCGCATTGCTGGGCCTTCCTCGTGCCCCCCGCGGGTGTCTCTCGGCCATGGGTACCCCTGGTCATGGCAAATCCTGGTGGGCACCAGCCCCTTCAAGCGCTAGTGCCAGCGGGGCTGGGGTGGATGGATGGGTGGGTGGATGGACGGATGGATGGATGGACGGACGGATGGATGGACAGAAGGATGGATGGATGGACCGACGGACACTCCTGCAGCCCCCACAGCCTGCAGATGGAGAAGAAGAAGAAGAGGAGAAAAAGGACGAGGGTGGTGAGAACACGGCAGAGGACATTGAGGGCATCCTCCGCTATGAGGAGCGCATCGCCGGGCTGCTGGCTACAGTGGCCCAGCTGCACCGCAGAGCAGAGCAGCTCCAGTGCCGCACCAGCAGGTACCAGAACGCTGCGGCCATGGGGCACTGGGACGTGGCGCTGCCCTGGTGCATCCCGCTTGTGCTCTTCACCCTGCAGGGAGGTTGAGGAGGGCTGGGAGGGCACCACCAGCCTCCCCACTGCCAGCCCGCAGCAGCACCGCCTCGATGGCAGGCTCGGTACCGCCACGGGTCCGGGAGGTGAGTGCACCGTGCGCGCCATGCTGGGCCATGCTGCAGGGACCTCACCCCGTACCCCTCTCCCCAGCCCACAGCCCCGACCTCTTCGCGGATCTGCAGCACGTCGTGAGCTCGCTGGAACGCACCGTGTTCTCCCGGCACCGGCACCGGCACCAGCACCAGCACGCACTGGTGCGGCCTGTGCCCAGCAAAGAGTGGGCACGAGCGGCCAAGGTGAGCCCCAGCAGCATGGTCAGCCCAGCCGCCAGGGGAACAGGCACTGCCTGACCGGCCCCTGGATCCCCAGAGCCTGGAGGAGCTGGAGCGGAGCCCGGGCCGCGCGGGGCCGGCGATGGGACGGGCTCCGGAGGAGGGAGCGGCAGAGGAGGCGGCGGTGGCGGCGGCGGCATCGAGGAACGCGGCGCTGCGGGCAGCCCTGGGACACCGCGAGGAGGAGCTGAGCCGGGCCACGGCGGCGCTGCGGGTGCTGCGCGGGGAGCGCGACCGGCTGCAGCTCAAGGTGGGCGCCGTGGGCACGGGGAGGGCGGGGGCAAGGCCCTGGGTCAGCCCCCGGGGCTCAGCCCGGTGCGTGGCGCAGGTTCGCGACTTGCGGGATGCTCTGTCCAGGCTGGAGGAGCCGGGGGGCTCCGGGAGTGACACCGCCGGGCTCGGCAGCCCCCCGGTGCGCAGGGAACCCCAGGTGAGTGCACGGTGGAGCCCGCCCCGGTGCCGCGCTCCTCCTGTCCCGGTTCCTGTCTCGGTGCCTGTCCCGGTGCCGGGCTCTGCCTGTCCCCTCTGCAGGACTTGCCCCAGTGCAGTGAGGATGCTCAGCCCCACAGCCCCCTCTCCCCGAAACCCTCGGAGGGTCCCAGCCGAGAGCAGGAGGAGCGGGTGCAGCAGCTACAAGGGTGAGTGTGTCCCCAGCTCCTCACTGGGGGGGAAACCGAGGCACGGGCCGCGGTTAACGGTGGGTGCCAGGTCCCTGGCGAGGCTGCAGGAGACGAACCGGGAGCTGGCGGCCGCGCTGCAGGACTGCAAGAACGACGCGGAGCTGCTCAGCATGGTGCTGGGGCAGCACGAGTCCTGCAGCACCGCGCTGCGCCTGGCCCTGCGCTGCAGGTGGGGACTGTGGGGACATGGGGACACGGCGGGGACACAGCCCGCGGTGCCACACTGAGCCCCTCTCCCTGCAGCGAGCGCTGCGGGGGGGCCTACGCCGCCCTCCTTGACCTGACGTGGGCAAAGGTGCGCCGGGAGGAGTATGGGGCCCAGGGGGGTGAGTGACAACTGGTGGGCTGCAGGGTTGGGGGGAGCTGGGGAGTTCATGGGGAGCATGGTGGGGAGATGTGCGAGGGACAGTGGGGAATGTCGGGGGGTGAAGAGGTGATGTGGGAGGGATGCAGCAGGCATGCACAAGGGGTGCTGAATGGTGTCAGGAGGATGTTGGGGGGATGCGGAGAGGATGCAGGGAGATATCGAAGGGTAATGCAGGGAGATATTTAGGAGATGCAGGGAGACATTAAGGGGATGCACGGAAGTTGTTGTTAGGATGCTGGGCAGATGCATGTGGTTATCAGGGGGATGCAGGATCGATGCTGGGGGACCCTAGCCCCCAGCACAGTCCCCGTGAGTATATACACCGAAGAGGGACATGACCACTGCCTGCCTCATGCTTAGGAGCCGTGGGGCAGCAAAGCCCGGGGCATGGATGGGCGTCCAGCCCCACACCAGCGGAGGGGCCACAGCTCCAGGGCCGAGCGGAGCCGGATGGGCAGGAAGAGAGCGGGGAGAGCAGCTCCACCGCGCTGCAGAGGTACCAGAACGAGAGCGGAGCAGTGCTGGGCTGTGCCCAGGGTGGCACCGTCTCCCCTGTGCCCACCCACACCAGCACCCTCATCCCGCAGCACCCCAGCACCGCGCGGCTTGGAGGAGGGGGCCCTGCGTGAGCACATCCGCCAGCTGCGCACCGAGCAGGCGGCCGTGGAGGCCTCTCTGCAGGACCCCCCAGCACCCGGCAGCACCCACCGCAGCCAGGAGAGCCGGGCCCGCGCAGAGAGGGTGCTGCAGGAAGCCCGGGCGCAGCTGCCCGGCTGGAGGCGGCCAGAGAAAGCAGAGCTGCTGCAGGAGCTGGCGATGCTCAAGGTGGGATGCTGTGGGGCTGAGCATGGGTCTCTTCCCAGCTCTCTGCAGAGAAGCTGCGTGGAGACCTCAGAGCAGCTTCCAGTGTCTGAAGGGGGCTACAGTGATATGGGAGAGAGACTTTTCATCTGGGACTGTAGTGACAGGACAAGGGGTGACGGGTTTAAACTTAACCAGGGGAAGATCAGGTTGGAGATAAGGCAGAAGCTCTCCCCTGTGAGGGTGCTGAGGCGCTGGCACAGGGTGCCCAGAGAAGTGGTAAATGCTCCATCCCTGACAATGTTTAAGGCCAGGTTGGGTGACATGGTCTAGTGTAAGACATCCCTGCCCATGGTAGTGGGTTGGAACTGGATGATCTTAAGGTCTTTTCCAACCCAAACCATTCCATGATTCTATGGTCTGAGCCATAGAGCTGTGGGAAGGGCAGGGGGTGATGCACAGCAAGAGGGAATGGAGCCGTGCCTCAGTTTCCCCATCCTAGTGCTGGTGCTGCTGCCCTGCCAGGAGGCCATGGCTGACCTGAAGATGCAGTTGCAGCTGATGGAGAGGGAAAAGCGAGGCCTGGAGGTGCTGGCGGCTGCGCAGGGCCCGCAGGAGGCTGCATTGCACCTGGTGCTCCAGCACCTGCAGTGGGAGAAGGATGAGGGGTTTGGCCAACCCCCCAGAAGCTCCAGCAGCAGCAAGGAGGTGAGGACTGCTCCCATCTCCCCATGGGGACCTTCCCCAGGGGCTGGAGCTCTCCCCACAGATGGGACCCACATCCGGCTTCTGCAGGATGCCCAAAGTGGCTGGGTGGGAGCAGAGGCTCCCCAGCACCCTCCGGGCCCGGCGAGGATGGGTGAAGAGCTGCTTCGTACCATGACCCGGTAAGAGCCCTCCCTGGCCATGCCATGGTGAGCAGTGCCAGGCTCAGGGACGTGCCAGACATGGGGATGTCCCCCAGGACGGAGGAGCTGCGTGCCCGAGCACAGGCCCTGGTGCGTGCCCTGGAGGAGAGCAGTGCCATCAGCCGCGCGCAGCAGGCACAGTGTGGCACCGTCACCGCAGACCTCTTCCATGCTCACAGGTAGGCACGAGGCTCCCCACCGGGCATGTGCTAGGTGCAACATCACCTCGTACACCCCTAAGTGCCTTCCTGCATGTCCTGCTTGCACATCACCCCCTGCTTGCTCCAGAACCCTTCTTGCACATCCACAGTGTGTGGTTCCTACCTCCACAATCCCTTCTTCCTGCATCCCCTAAAAGCACAGTCCCACCTTGCACATCCCAAAACTGCAGTCCCATATTGCACACCCCCAAAGCATGGTCCCATCTTGCACATCCCTGATACCCAGTCCCTTCCTGCACTCACTCCAAAAGCACATTCCCAATTTGCACACCCCAAACCATGGTCCCATGTTGCACATCCTGTCCTTTGCACACCTTAGAAACATGGTCCCACATTGCACACCCCTAGCGTATCTCCCCCTCCTGCACACCCCAAGAGCTGTTTCTTCCTGCACACCCCAAACCTGGGTCCCCCAGTCACAGTCCCCTCGGTGCGGTGCTGAGCATGGTGTGGGTGCAGTGCGGTGGCAGTGTGGTGCTCGGCGGTGCCGAGTGCGGTGCTGAGAGTGGTGCGGTGCTCGGTGCGGTGCTGAGTGCAGTGAGATGTTCGGTGCGGTGCTCAGTGCGGTGCTGAGTGCGGTGCCTGGTGCGGTGCCCGGTGCAGTGCTGAGCGTGGTGCCCGGTGCAGTGCTCAGTGCGGTGCTGAGCGCAGTGAGATGTTCGGTGCGGTGCTCAGTGCGGTGCTGAGCGTGGTGCCCGGTGCGGTGCTCAGTGCGGTGCTGAGCGTGGTGCTCGGTGCGGTGCTCAGTGCGGTGCTGAGCGGTGGTGCCCGGTGCGGTGCTCAGTGCGGTGCTGAGCGTGGTGCCCGGTGCGGTGCTCAGTGCGGTGCTGAGCGCAGTGAGGTGTTCGGTGCGGTGCTCAGTGCGGTGCTGAGCGCAGTGAGGTGTTCGGTGCGGTGCTCAGTGCGGTGCTGAGCGCAGTGAGGTGTTCGGTGCGGTGCTCAGTGCGGTGCTGAGCGCGGTGCCCGGTGCAGTGCTCAGTGCGGTACCCTGTGCGGTGCTCAGTGCGGTGCTGAGCGCAGTGCCTGGTGCGGTGCTGAGCGCAGTGAGATGTTCGGTGCGGTGCGTGGTGCAGTGCTGAGCGCGGTGCCCGGTGCGGTGCGTGGTGCAGTGCTCAGTGCAGTGCTGAGCGCGGTGCCCGGTGCAGTGCTCAGTGCGGTGTTCAGTGCGGTGCTGAGCGCGGTGCTGGGCGCTGTGCACTGCCCGGTGCGGTGCTCAGTGTGGTGCGTGGTGCAGTGCTGGACGCTGTGCACTGCCCGGCGCGGTGCTGAGCGCGGTGAGATGTTCAGTGCGGTGCATGGTGCAGTGCTGAGCGCGGTGCCCGGTGCGGTGCTGAGCGCGGTGCCGGTGCCCGCAGCGCGCTGGCCCTGGCGTACCGCGGCGCCCGGCGGAAGCAGGCGGCTCAGCTGCGGCGGCTGGAGGGGCAGGCGGGGGCCCTGCGCAGGCAGCACGCCCGGCAGATGCAGGCGCTCACCCGCAGGCTGCACAGCCTGGAGCAGGGCACGGCCGGCAGCGAGACCTGCATCTAGAGACCCCCAGAGACCCCCCCGTGCCGGCAGGACCCCGCTGTATCCCCACGGAGAATAAACCACTGATGCTCATGGCTCAACCGCCCCCACCGTGGTGCAGGTTCTGGGGGGGTTGCGTTTGGAGGGGCTCAGGCAGCCGGACCCGGAGCTTAGCTCATCCCGGGAACAAAGGGCGACCACCCCCCCACCATCCTGCACTGTCCCCGCTGTCTCCCGGCACAGATGAAGCCGTTTCGTTGCCCCTGACGTGGGATCAAAGGTGACGGCAGTGGCCGTGGCGGCGGGGCCATGCATATTCAGGAGGGAAGAGGAGCAGTGACCCCCCGCCAGGGGCATCCTCACTGCGATGGGGGTGGGCGACAGTGGGGTTGAATCCAGCAGCCGGAACCCTGGAACACTGAGGGCTTGGATAGCAGAGCTGGGTTGAGCACGGGTTTCCAGTGGGTGGATGGGCAGGGGCACAGACACAATGTGAGCAGAAGGGAAACTGAGGCACGGAGGTTTACATAGGCTCAAATGGGGCCTGCAGCTCCCCAGAGAGATCCTGCAGCAGAGTTCAAGGCTCAGTGGATCAATATCCAGAGCTGTGGCAATGGAGAGGGCAGAGAGAGGGCTGCAGGGCAGGGATGCAATAATGTGGAGATGCAGGAATGGAGGGATGCAGGATGGTGCTGCAATGACACAGGGCTGCAGGGCTGCAGGGCAGGGCTGAAGTGATGGAGGTGGAGGGATACAGGGATGAAGGGATGTGGGGATGCAGTGACACAGGGATGGAGGGAAGTGGGGATGCAGCTCACCCCTCCGAGCTGCCCGTGCCTCTGCCCCCATCCCCTCATCACAGCACCCCTCTGAAGCGGGGACAGGGGCTGGTTCAATGGGCAATTCCCAGCATCCCAACCACTGATTTGGGGGGCTGCCTGTGCTGCTCCAGCCCCTGTCCCTGCTGCCCCCTCTCGTGCCCGGCTCCGTAGGGGGGTCCCGGTGGCGTGGAGGGGCTGACCCGCGGGTTGAAGGTCAGGGCTCTGCTCTCAGACCCCTTTTCAGATTCAAATCGGCTCCCGGGGGCTTTGTGCGGGGTCAGGCTCTGCGAGAGCTGCATGAAAGGGCCAGGGCAGCCGGGGCAGCCCCAGCGCTGGGTGCCGGGAGGAGGAGGAGAAGGCAGCTGGGACCCGCTTGAGGGGTCCCCCCCCTGACTCCAGGGCTTGACCTGGACTCCCAGAGGCACCAGTGGGGATGGGGTGATCCCGGCTGTGGATGGGGGTCCCAGAGCTGTGCTGCCTGCGCTGCTGGCACGGCACGGGATGGCTTGGCACGGTGCAGCATGGCATGGCACAGCACAGCATGGTACGGTATGGTGCAGCATGGCACAGCTAAGCACGGCACGATGAGGTCTGGCACAGTGCAGCACGATGTAGCATGGCCCAGCATGGTGCAGGCTGGTGAGACCCCCCCCTGCTTTCCCCACTGTCACCCCACTGTCACTACACCCAGAAACCTGCAGCTCCCCTGGGAGGGCTCCACATCCCAGTTCATGACTTCACCATTCCAGCCCGCTCCCTGCCTCAGTTTCCCCTCTGTCGCGGCTGCAGTAACCCCCTGGCACCCCCTGGTAGCATGGCCCAGTGTGGGGCTGCACCCCACCCCCTGGGATCGTGGGGAGGGAGGCAGGAGCGATGGGATGAGGGAGGTGGGAGGTGATCCCTGTCCCCCAGGGAGTGAGCATCCAGCGGGGCCTGGGGCGTGGGATCTGATATCCCGGGAATGCAGGGCAGGGAGCAGCCCTCGGGGGGAGCAAGGGGGGGTCACATCTCCCTTTGCCTCAGTGCAGGGCTGGGAGCAAACCTGCAGCACCGGGGGGGGGAGTGTGGGGTGTGTGAAACCACCCCTCCATAGGGAGAGAGATCCCCGCGTGTGCATGCAGTGACCCCACACACGTGTGTGCACCCTGCTGCCTGTCCCCTGCACACGTGTGAGCACACGGCAGAGCTGTGCGTGCTGCATGGGCACTCTGTGTGCCGCGCTGTGGGGCAGCCGTGGGGCGCAGGGCTGTGCTGTGGGGTGTGCGACAGCCCTGCCCAGGGATCCGAGGAGCAGTGGCACCACCGGCCCTGGCCTCCCTTTGTCCTTCGCTGACAGCAGCGCAGCCGTGGTTGGGCCCTGCAAGGTTGGGACCATCAGGACGCCCCCCGGCCATGGGGGGCCTTCACCCCTCTGTGGGTCCAGCACAGCTCCCGCCTGCCCTCAGCACGTCCACACACGCCCGCGGCAGGAGCCGGCCTCAGGAATGAGGCACTGAGGAGCGGGGTTGGGCCTCAGCATCCTCCAGGGCACAGCGGAGACAGATCCTGCTCACTTCAGAGGTGTGGGTCCTCATGGGGGCACAGAGGGGTGCGGTGGTGTCCATCTAACCCCCCCCGGTTGGCAGAGGGAATGGCTGCCCCATGGCCTGGAGGGCTGGGAACCAGGATGGAGGAGAAATGGGGTCAGGGCTGGTACTGCTGGGATCTGGCTTTTTGGTGCTGCTGGCACAGCCATGAACCAGGCACACTTTGGCAGGGGTTGCTCAATCACCCTCCAGCCCAAAGGAGGATCATCACCGCCACCCATACCCCAACACCGCAGCCGGCTCTGACCCCGGAATCCTCACGGAGCCCCGGCGGCGCCTCCACCGCGCCGGACTCTTCCCTGGGGGCACCGGGGCGGCACAAAATGCGGTGGCAGCTCCCGGGGGCCCTTTTGTGCAGCGGAGGCAGTGGAGCAGCACGGGGAAGGAGGAATTCCTCCGGAGATCAAACGCCTTCTCCGGGTGGACACCGACGTCAAAACAAGGCCGGTTCCCAGCGCGGGGCCGGAGCCATGCGGGGGAGAAGATCCAATTTCCTCCTTTGTTCCTGGATTATTATTTTTTGCAGGGGGCAGGAGGCAGGAGCGGGGCAGGGAAAGGGCCATAAATCACAGCCTGACACAAGAGAAAGGAGAAGCAGGGCTGGCTGCAGGTGGGGGGGACCCCCCCTGCCCAGAACGGACCCCCCCCACTCCTCCAGCCCAGCCCCTTCCCAGCCAGCTCTGGCTTCCCAACCACAGCAGCCCCTGTGGCATTGCCCTTGCTGGGCATCTTGGTGTGGCTGCATTAGCAGGTACCTGGTGAGCAGAGATCCCTCCAGGCAGGAGGAAATGGAGGTTTATTTATGGCCAAAGCTGTAATCCATCCACCTCTGCTGCACCCCAGCTCCCTTTTCATGGGGTTTTTTATATGCGTCCGCTTTGCTTTGCCTTCCCCTTCTCCCCAGTGGAGATGCTGGCCCTGGTGTGTGGGTTGGGAATGCCAAGGATGGCACCATGACATGCCACAAAGGTCCTGGCAGCTCTGATCAACATCAGCATCCTTGGGGTTGCCCCATGGGGATAGGCCTGCACCAAGGGCACACCAGGGCAGATGGGACAGGGGTGCATGGGGATCCCATCTCTGCACCGTGCCCACTGGACTTCACCCCCAAAGTGAAGGGGAACGGAGTGGTGCCGGAGCCACTGGGGCCACCACGGCATAGCCAGGAGGAGGGTTTGTCCCACAGGTGGAAGGCAAAGGGAGGGCTGTCCCACAGGGCTGCTCCCGGGTCAAGCACCTTTCCCAAAGCTTGTTTCTTGGTTAACAATTAACGAAGCACCAGCACCCAGAGCCAGCACCCGAAGCCTGCGGGGAGGCCATACGGGTCAGACCTGATGAACCGCATTACAAACAGGGCTGCAGCCACCCGGCCTCAGCCATGGGGCCCGAGGGACCCCCAGCGCCACCAGAGCACCCCAAGGGCACAGCCCCAGTCCTTGCGCCCCCCCCATGAGCCGTGGAGCTGCAGCCTGGTGCCGCTGGCTGTAATTAAAGATCCCGTTGGGGCTGCTGGCAAGAGGATGCGATTCCCAACACCGGCGGCTTGGACATGGGCTAGGCCTGGGAATGACTTCCCACCGGCATCCCGCGATCCACAGCCCCATGCGGCATCACACCATGTGGTGACACAGTCCCTTGTCCCCAAGGGCAGCCCTTGCCGCAACCGCTGCAGCTTAGAGGTCACTTGCTGTGGGGACCAAGGGCCGCAGCCGTAACCGCAGCCATAATCGCAGCCGGTTAAGTGCCACGGCCCGGCAAACCGGCACACAGCGAAGCGCCCCGCTCCCCAAAGGCCATGGCGGGGGCCGCATCCAATCACCTCCGGTACCCAAACGGGCTCTTCCACCGTGCCCGCACCCGGCACCGCAACCGAGGCCGTAGCCGCCTCCGCCACAACCGGTACCACCGGCCCGCGGAGCCGCCCAGCCCGAGCCGTGCCCAGCCCCGGCTCCCGACTGCGGTGCGGAGCGGTGCCCGCCTGGTCCCTGTGTGTGTCCCCCCCCCGGGAAGCGGCTCGGCGGGGGAGTGAAGGGGGGGCTGCCCGGCGCGGCGGGGCCGGGGCCGGGGCCGGGGCAGGACCCGGCGGGCGGCGAGCGGAAGGGGAGGAGGACGGGGAGGAGCATCCAGGGCGGCCACCGCGGCAGCGGCTGAACTTTGCTCTTTCGCGGGAGGCGGGGAGAGCCCCGGGGCTCGGCGGAGCGGGTCCCGCCGGACCCGGAGCGGGACCGGGCTGCATGCACCGGCGGCGGCTGCGGGGCCCGTAGGGGCGAGGGCGGGCCGGGGCAGCGCCGCCTTCTCCTCCTCCTCCTCCTCCTCCTTCCCTGCCGGTGCCGCGGAGCGGAGAAGCCACCGGGGGCGGGCAACGGCGGCCCCCGCATGCGGCCGAGCCCCGGGGCTGCCGCCGCGCCCGGAGCCGCCGCGCCCCGCGGGGGGATGCGCCGCGCCGCGCCCCGCTCCCGCCGCCGCAAAGTTTCCGCGGGGCCCCCCCGTTAACGGTGGGGGGGGGGAAGGAAAGGAGGAAGCCCTGGGATAGACGAAGAGGGGGGGCGGAACAAACCCCCCCCCCCTAAAAACCGCGAACCGGCCGCCGCCCCCCGAAAAGAACTTGCTCAACTCGTTCCGGGAGGCGCCGGGCGCCGCGCACCGCTCCATGCGGCGGCGGGGCCGGCGCTGAGCCCCGGGGCCGCGGAGCCATGGCCATGGTGGCCGGCGGCTGGGGCGAGCCCAACGGCGGCGGCGGCGGGGAGGAGGAGGCGTCCCCGGCGGGCGGCGGCAGCGACGCGGAGCA